CATTTACAATTAAATATCATTTATGTTTTTTAAAGTTGAAAGTTTTTTAGAGTTGATAAGTGTTTTTACTAATCCAAAATTCAAATTAAAATGCTACATAAAAATTTACTTTTTATTAATTGCAAATATAGAACAATCTAGTCTTAAAAAAAAAAAGATAAATTAATGAGTAGGTAGAAACGGAAAACCAAAAAATTAAAAATAATTGTTTTAAACCTCTTTACGAAAACCTCTTTGTCCAAGTACTATCTATTGGCAGTTTATCGAAAAAGGACGTGCGACTCGTACGTCTGACAACATAAAAATCATTTTTAAAATAGATAAATTTTTCCTCTGTCTTGAAGTGAAGCTGAGCTTGGTGGATTTACTCGTGAACACGCAAATAGAAGTGGCGAAAAGAGTAAATAGATAGACAGCATTATTCTCGCGAGAAGAAATGGAAGATAAGAGACTAGAAGAAGGCAGTAAAAAGAAACTGGGGAAAAATATAAGGATGAGTATACGCGCCATCAGATAAATTCTCGACTTTAATGAACGTACGAAAGAGTGCAATTTGAAAATGAGAGTTACCCTCCGGCAGAGCCACTAACTTCTCAGTAAGATGTTACTTTTGAAGGAAAAAGAATTCTTGGAATTCTACGTTGACAAACAATCGTGATAATAACTTCAACATGTAATATTTAAAAAATAATTAATGCAACAAATTAAAATATTAACTCACTACTCGAAAGAGGTTCTTATACTTAAAAATAATCTGTTATTTTAAAATATAAATAGCATTTTTCTTCTGTATTATTTCTTCTGAAATAAACTACCAAAGAGAATAATATTAAGAATTGCAATATATTATAAAAACCAAAAATATTTTAATGTTTAAATAATCTATTATTATCATTTTAAATTTATGTTAAACGTAATTTTCGTTTGAAATAAATTTATTATTAAGTTATAATAAAAAATGTGTAATAAATTATTTTTTTTTTTAATTTCAATTTAATGTACTAAAATATATATCAACTATATTTTTAATTCTTAAAAATGGAAGTATCACTGTTTATTTCAATATCGATTACCTTCGCATTTTTCTACTTTTTCTTAAATTTACTTTAAAATGCATTTATCTTTATATAACTTTTATTCCAAATTTGACATAATCTTAAATGCAAGAATTTATCACTGTCAAGAAAATTTTGAAAAATTGTTGATAAAAAGGTAGATTGTGTATGTGTAAGAATTATACGTGAATAAGCTGTAAGTTTGAATAAAGTGTATAACGATGTGTTGCAATATGATCTTCTTTTGACAGATTTTGCAAATATAATTTATTTTGATCTTAGATTCACAATTGTATGTGATGTAGTAACATTTTTTGGTATATATTCCACAAATAAAAATCTATATTTCTTTCGCGTTTTTCTCTCTTTTCTTTTTTCACACGGAACTTTTCAATTAATGTCGCGTTTCCGTTTGTAATCGGCAGGATTTTTTTATCATCGACAGTTTTTTGCGATCATTATTGTGGAGGAAAAAAAAACACAAAGAAAAAGCTCACAGTATTGTGCAGATATTATATTGCACTGTGAATTAAAATAGTTGTGCTATTGACTTGTCCATATCGAACATATGGCGTCGGTAATAAATAATGTACGCGGATTGCATTGTAAAATTAATGAAAGATATATATATGTATATATATATATATATATATGATTTAATATATTTATTTACATAATATATTAACATAATAAAATTACAAAACTTTCGTTTTTTGTTAATTACATTAAATAATAATTTTAAACTTTTATTTTATAATTATAAATATATATATATAATATAAAGTCCCCTTCACCCTCCATTTGTACTGTAATACAAATTATAAAAATATGTATTAATTTAATTAAACACAAAAGCATAAAATAAAAATATATATATAACTTTATATTGTACATAAAGATATAAAAAAATATTTTTATAAAACAGTTTTTATTTAAATAAATAACGCGTATTAAAACATTTTAATGTGCAGAGATATAATACAGTTATAATTATATTTTTACATTGAAAATGTAAAATGTAAATCTCAACGTCAATTTGTTTTTAAAAAGTAAAATTGCTACAGTATGGAAGAAATCACTTTGCTTTAACAACTGATGAGCTTAGAATTTAGAATCTTCGATTCTTTAAAACAGATTCATGTGGATGTAATAAAAGGCTCAATATCAGAGTAAAAAATTGTTATTGTTTATTTAGAAATATTCCATAGAAGATGCATTTTATTTTTGTAAGTTAATAAAATAAAGATTTTATTCTCTCTCATTTAATTTATTTCAATATCCCCAAAAATAGAATTTAAAAAATAAAATTAATTAGTTGAACATTATTCAGCTCAGGAATCTTGCTTCATAAGTAGTGCGATTAGTACATTAGTGGAAGTTCTGAGACTTCGTACCAATCTTAAGATCTTATCGATAAGAGGATTACTTAAGAGTTGAAGACACACAGAAACATTGACGGTATAAAGCCTTCGATAACCCTATGTCCTTTCCCAAAGACAATTCTACACGTTCGTCCCGGTAAAATTTTGCCCCGCAGTTTCTCGAAAGTTTCGTCCCCATCAAAAGTTGTATCGCTATCTCTCTACGGAGCCGTTTGATTTTGTCGAAAGTTACAGCTTCGAATAACGAACTGAATAGTTCTTCTTCAAGAACTTATGTTGGCGTGGAAAATGGAAAGCACTCACACAAGTTTCACGACATGACTGCTATGGACCTTTTATCAAATTGGAACGGTTTGTGAGTGTAAAATAATATAGAGTCGATCTCATCAACTCTGATTAACTTAATCGGTCGATCAAGTTGCAACCATATGATTGATTAATTCTGCTAACAGCAAATGCAATTGATCAGTTCCAATGTAACAATCGGCCGATTAAATTAATTAGAGTTTGCGAGACTGCGCAGGCTAATAGAGAATCAAATATATATTTTTATCGTTAAGAGGATGCAGAATCAATGGCCAAATTTAATCGATGTTAATAATAGATTCCTAATTCCAAAGTAAAACGTTATGTACACATTAAGTAAAACATTACGTTTGTTTTTCACGCTCACGAGCTATAAAAGCTTCATCTTATTATTATTGCTCGGTACTTGCAGAAAAAATAGAATAAAGTTTTCAGCACATAAATGTGAAAAAACGAGCACAGCCTAAATAAAACATTATACAATATACATTTCTTGCCCTGCTATATTCTACATATCGCATGAATGCAATTATAAGGTTTACATATACTCAGATTGTACTTTTTTATTTGCTTCTTTTATAATAAGCTTCAAAATCATAATTTGAAGATCTCGTTGCATTCCCAGAAAGCACAAAGTCGTTTATCTATAAAAAAAATGATTAAAAGATGACTAATGCCCGATTGTGCACCAACGTTACTTTAATTTCAAGCGAGACTTAGAACTCTCTCCCTTTCTGCGTCTTTTTATCGGCTTTAGAAAACGAAAAAGATTTTAAGCTTCACTTAAAGTCAAAGTAACGTTGGTGCGATCAGGCCTAAATTGATATAGAAAAATATCCTAATGAAAGAATAATGTAATCGACGAAAAGATGATTAAATGGTGACGGATGTCATATTGTTAATATAAAAAAAAGTTAACGCATGTGAAAGTGCGCACCTCTCCCGCGCTAACTCTTATTAACCTTTAATTCTTTTATTTTAAAAATTAAGAGTCACATACACAAATTATTTTATTTCTTCTTAAAATATGAATTTAGGACTTCAAAACAAACAAAATTTTTTACAACTCCTGAAGTTTGCTTGTAAACGGTTCGTTTAAAAAATATTATGATTTAAGTTATAGATTTATAGGAAAACGAATAGATTTAAGATGATAAATTAATAAATAAATTACCTAATAAGATCAACAAACGTTTCGATCTTTAATAATGATTATCTTTAATTTTGTATATGTATAACACTAAAGTTGTCGCTAATTTTAAATCGGATATTATTTAACATCTATCTAAAAGGACTTCCATTTTCAAACCAATATACATAATTTAACAGATATATTTTATTTTGCGGAGAAGAAATGATAATAGTAAAAAGCAGTGTATACAATTTTAAATAAAATAGTTTAAACTAAGATTGAACAAATAATTTTATTAATTCTTGAAAGTGACGAAATAGCATGGTAGACTTATAATATCATAAATATTATAATTAATTGAGACTTATTATATCAGTAACATATAAAATCACATTAACAAATACGATATTAAATATCATGCTTGTTGATAAAGTATTATTATATCTTTTTCCTTAGAGAGCTATACATTACACTATATTAATCTTTTAATATTAGAGTTAGAATATAATTCCACATTTTAAGATAATTTTGTCAACACTTATTGTTTCTTTTTTGCCGCTCGTATTTTTTTATTAACGTGTCATCGGACGATCGTAAACAAAGTGCATGCCTCACATGACGTTCATCTCATTCCAGGAACCTCCATATAAAACGTTAATAATATTAAAATACATTTTTTAAAAATAATTTTATAATATTTTATTTAAACTCAAAAGATTTCAATTATTAATCTAAAAAGAAATGTTTTAAGTACCTTAATACTGCTCAAGGAGAGATTGATATAATTCCATCATATTTATAATACCAGCATTTCTGAGATAAACCGTCACGGTTGTTTGTACATATTTAACAATTAGCTTATTGCTAATTGTAAGATACTTATGACAAGATACTTATGACAAGAAAGAGACAGTAAGCATCAACATGACACGAAAAAATCAAAATGTGTAACTAAATCTCAGCTGTTGAAATTTGTATCGATAGAAGCGAAGATCTCTTTTCTACTCTTCTTACAGTGAATTGACGCGCAAATATACACGCGTATTAATACACATCTAAAATCGTATAGTATCATATCATAGTATCATATCATAGTATTATGAAGAAATTTATATTGAGAGAGCATGGATTAAACGTATGTAAAACGAGAAGTTTCGGTGGGCATGAGATACATATAAAATAACGATTATGATGAATGACGACGAATTAAGTTATTATATACATATTTCACAGCCCAGCGCGCTCGTCCTTTGTGTCTCAATCCTGGCATGAGAACAACCGCCATCACTAAAAAATAAATCGGACAAATCACAAAAAGTACTACAGGCACAAACAAATATAAAAAATAATGATATAAATTTGTTACCTGTGATGTAAAGCAGAAGCAAATTATCGATAGTGCTACCGATCCAGGCGAACAAAATGAGAAAGAGAATCGTTACACTGTAATACTGCAATAAGAATAAGAAAAGTGTTACATGTAAGTCTTTACTTCTAAAATACGGAAATAAAATCTGTATATAAGATATGCTATAATAATAGATATTCAGTAAAATAAAATAATCTTTTATAAAAAGACAGTTATCAGACTTATCTTTCATGCAAAAAGTATAATCTTTTAATATATTTTTAATAGAAAAATATACACTTATAATTTACTTACAATATTGGGACGATCGTGCCGAAATTTTGAGAGAGATGTCCGTGCACTTTGCAATTGTAATATAGTGGTAGACAGATTTTGACAAATCTCAGTTAATTTCTTCTCCTTCTGTCCAGTCCAGCTTTGTGCGTCGCACAATATTGAAGTAAAAGTCGGAACAAAATAATCACCAAGAGCAAATGTTATTAAGCATAAGGATATTGCCGTCAAGAGAGATGGTTGTAGAATCCATACAGAACTGTAATAAGAAAAACATTAGTAATTTTTCACTTATACTTCCAATAAGTTTACAGAGTATTCCAAAACTATTAAATGTCTATAATCTAATTTCTTTTTAGTCAAATCTCAAAAGTAATTTGTTTTAAACAAATATATTATCAGTAAATATACCTCTCTTGTTGACCTCGTATATAACATTATATGCATCTTAATAAGTTAGATCAGTTAGATGCACATATCATGTATAATAAAAATCACACTAAAATTGTAAAACATGTTTAAAGCTTATTTAAGCTTATTCAAGCATTATTAAAAATTATTTTAAAAAATAATCACAAGACATGATCTGCCATCTATTTTTTTAATTAATTGCTAAAAACCTATAGATGTGTTCAAAATTTTTTATTCAGAAGGAATCAATTTGAAATGGAACAAAAAATTAGCAGTAGAAAAAATATTTAGTGATAGAGTACATCTGGTATGTATAGTATACAGCTGTATGTAAAATAAATGTTACAATGACTAGACATGTATCCATCTTAAACATTGTATTATTTTTTTTTGCAAATAAAACTTTAAATATTTCCTTATATTATTATTGACTTTAAATGTTTATTTATTATAAATGAATAAATATTATATATATAATAATAAATATATTTTTAATATAAATTTAATTGCAATTCTTAAATACAATTAAATTAATGTAATAAAAAAAAGTATTTTAGATTAATAATAATAACTATTATGTAATTATTCATATACATACGAATTGTCATTCAACCTTTGCATAAAGTTTGTGCACATTGCTTAAAATCCCCAAAAATGATTACACTTGAAATAAGATGAATATATAGTTAAATGTTGAAAAGAGAGGAAACAATGCTGAGTACAAAAAGAGTAAGCAACGCAAACACACCTATATATGCAATAAATCTTAAAAATAGTTTTCATTTTTATGAGATTGATTCATTTACCAGAACACCATTGTTATAAACCCAACAATTAGTCCAGGATGCCAGCTGCGTTCCCACAAGAGAATGGAATTCAAAGGCAGGATTAACTCCCGCAAGCATTCCAGCCTTCGCTTCAACTGCTTCATGTGTTTTTCCTACGATAATATCGCATTATCAATCAACGAAATCGTGTCTCGTTCTGTCATTGATTTTTTACGAAGCTACGGAAGCGCGTGTTCGTTTATCAAAAACGAGTTTTATATCTATATCAGTTGGTTACAAATCACTAATTCACAATTCTACAGGCTCGAATCGTACTCACCCTTTCGGCCGCCCCGTCGTCCGTCATCACGCCAAAATTTATGACAAACGCGACGTTTTAATTCACTTTATAGCGGGGTGAGGATCTGGTGGGGGAGATGTACGACACAGAAAATGGGCTCGTTCCACTGGCGGTTCTGTATTTCTGTATTTATCCACTACGTATCGTCATCTTGAGGCACAGTCCGCAGTCTCGACGAAAAATAGCCTAGAATCGGCTTGTTCAGCGATGCTGGCGAACCGTTTGCGTTTTCAAGCTTAAAAAAAACATGCACAAATCAAGCCGGAGGACAGGTCGTACGCAGCGGTGGCGGTGCCCGGGCAGTGGAGTGGAGAGCCAGTGACGGCAGCGACGACGGCGCAATGATAGGCGAGGGGGAGGAAGAATCGACTTCTGGCATCGAGAGTACCCTGGCACGCGATTGGCTGTCAGTTCAAAATGTTGGTTATTGCAGGCGATGCCGTGCTGATGTTGTGACGTTAAGTGTTTTCCTACGCCGTGTGTGCCGGGAAGCTGAGAGAATCGCGTAGCCTGCGCGCGAGGCCTGGGCGAGATCACGCTCCGAATTTTCGGCGATTATGGCTGCCGCCGCCGTGAGCTCCGTGAGTAATCTTCCGTTAGTCAGCTATCGCAGAAACGTACAATTCGACATTCGTTCGTCGCGATGTCCCGCGGCCGCCAACCGCCACTCTGTAAAAGCAACCACGCTTTCTCTTGTTTACGTTCTGCGCGTTTCAATCAGCCCCCCCCGCTAAAACACGTGTGAAATTGGATCGTACGTTTTTGCAGAATGTGGAAAATCTGTCGCCACAAATCATCCGCCGGGTAGCCAAGGAGATGGCAGAGCTGGTCGCGCAAACACCTGAAGGTATTCGTGTCATTTTGAACGAGGCCGATGTCACCGACATACAAGCCGTCATCGAAGGCCCAGGTAACATTTCCTCATTTAGCCTCCTCGCTTCCCCGCTCTTTGATCTCGTCGACAAAACCGACGTCGAGCAAAGCATACTTTTATCGACTATGCATCTAACGTTACCTAACCTAACCTGGCGCCGTCCTAACCCTATAACACCTTTTACCTCGCTCGTATCCGCGTATGTCACTCGTCTGTGTCGAGAACATACAACTCTTCCCATTGAATTTTTCATCCTTGATTGTTGACACTAATATCGTCGTGTTTCACAGATATAATTTTTATTGAACTAGAATAGATATTAGATTATATTAGAACAGATGTAGAAATTAGAAATATTTTCTAAAATGCACACATGACTGAATTATGAATAATAACTGTGTTTGCATAACACCCTTAATCAAGTTTAATAACATCTGTAATTAAAAACTAACCAATCACAGAATTATTTCATTATTAATAAATACTAATAGCCTTTACTTTGTCCTTTTATTGTTTTAACATCGAGAACTTTGTTTGTTAGTATTTATTTTTAATGATGGCTGTAAAAAATGCGTTCAACATACGTTTCTTATTTTAATTATATACATACAAAATTTACCGAGCAGTTAAAGTAATGAAATCATGAATCAAATATCGCAAGACAATTATTAATAATTATCTATACATCTGATTTATTAAGTATTGTATTTCTAATAAGATCATACCGCAACATTTAAATGTACTGAATAATAACATGTATTTTATCATCACAAAAGATTTGTTATAATATTGTGATAAACACATCATGAGTATTATCTGGATAAGTTATTTAAATGAGATAAAGAACTTTGCAAACTATGACATTTAAATTCATAACTCAACGTTATATCAATCTAGATTATCAATTCTGCCAACATTTGATTTACTAATGTTTTGTCAGCAAATTTGTTCTCACAGAGAGTCACTCACTCGACATCGCAACATAAAAATATATCATAATTCTATCATCTATGATACAATGAATTTTACATCTAAAGAAGGCTCAATCCAAGAGCCGAAACATGTTATGTATGTAGTTTGAATTTTTATGAATTATATTTATAATTTTCTTATATGTGATAACTTTTTATTTATAATTATCTCGAATTGCCCTTTACTTTGTTCTTTTATTATTTCATTACTCAAAAGAATAGCTATGATTGGTCAATTTCGTAATTACAGATGTTATTAAACTTAAATATAACTTGATTAAGAATGTCGTATATGTGTAGTCATTAATATAATAAATATAAAAGTCTAAGTGAAAATGTATTTTTATTCTATATATTCATAAAATATTCATTTAACACTGCAACAAAATATAATAAAAATAACTACTTGAATAAATAAGATCTTTTCAATGATCTATGCTTGTTGGACTCAACTACAGAGTAGTATGACATAAGATCCAATAACGATAGTTAAGGTTTAATAATATTAATATAGTATATTGATATCTATATATATTTCTTTTTAACAGCGGGGACTCCATATGCCAATGGTTTCTTCAGAGTGAAATTAGTTCTTGGAAAGGACTTTCCACAGGGACCGCCAAAGGCTTACTTCCTTACAAAAATTTTTCACCCTAATGTAGCAAAAAATGGTGAAATATGTGTCAACACTTTAAAAAAGGATTGGAAACCAGATCTTGGGATACAACATATATTATTGGCAAGTGATCACTGAACTACAATGTGTTGTAAATGCTTGCTTATGTATATTCTAATATTCCTTTTTTTATATTTTTTAGACTGTAAAATGTCTACTAATAGTGCCAAATCCAGAATCTGCTTTGAATGAGGAAGCTGGCAAATTGCTTTTAGAAAGTCATGACGAGTATTCAGAGCGAGCAAAAATGATGACTGAGATACATGCACAAGTAATGTCTTATCTTGATAATTCTTCGCAATTTTATCATAATAAGTTTTATTTTTATGAAACTTATTTCTTTAGGGAGGTGGAAAAGGAAGCAAGGCGGGTCTGGAAAGTTGCGCCTCTTCGGACACTGGAGGACCTCTTCCAAAAAAACATGCAAGTGATAAGAAACTAACAGCGGAAAAGAAAAAAATGTTAAAAGATAAGAAGAGGACACTGAAGAGATTATAAGGAAAATTAATATTATTTCTTCTGTCTTTTGTAATTTAAAATACTAGTATGATAATGTTGCCTCGTATTGTATACAATTATTATTGCATAGTAAAATTTTATTATCTAAACTTGACTGATCTTATTATTAAGTATGTAGAGAATTTAATATGTCTAGATACATTAAAAATAAGAAAAAGATAATAGCGACAAAAATTGATCTCCCACCTTCCTTAGAAGATTAGTGTTCAGTAGTGATCTGTACAATCATAGCTTGAATTAGAAATCTGTTCTATACTATCTATTAGCAAATATTTTTACATATGTACAGAATAATATTTGTGATTACTTAAGTAAAATAAAGAAAATGTCTCCTATATGCATTGAATCAATTTTACTAAATGTTATTTTATTCCAAATGATTGCATGTCTCTTTCCTGTGTATATATCTCTACTTTCTTCCATCACCCTCATATATCTTAACATATTTTTAAACAAATTTCTCAATGTCTTCGGATATTTTTGTAAAGAAACGATATGGGATCAAATATGGGTGAAAGGACTAAAATAACAATATAAGGAATTTTTTCTCTTTGATGAATAAGATTTCTTTAAAAAATATTTTATTAAAAGAGAATCTGTGGCGAGTTTTTTCTTCAGTCTTGCGCCGCTTATTAGCTTGACTGCTCTTTGTACGCTGCATGATTAAAAATGTATACATGTTCTTACATATCCATCACTGTGCACTAAATAATCGTCAATATTTGACTAGTTAACAGTACGCGCGTCACAGCCTTAATCTACTATTAATTATATACTACACATATAGATATGTTGTTTAAGTTAAAGAAACTCACCGGACATATAGTTACATAAAAGTGTTGACATTTACGTATTCTAAAGTTCCTAAATAAATTATCCTAAAGATGGATTTTGTAAATAATGTTCTGATATTTGACATAACATTTGGAATAATCAGATGTGAGGGCTAGAAGCACATTTCGTACTTTGATAAACAACAACTTTTTGAGATGTATCTCATTGTATTTTTCATCTGATGAGCACACACGCACGATAGTACATACAAATTCATACAGTCTTTACAATCATGTAAGTATATTCTTTTTTAATTTTCTTGCATTACTATATTATAAAAGAAATCTATGAACTTCTATAATGTTCGCAAAGATTTTGTAAAATTTGCTGTGCCAATTTTTGAAAGAATCGTCAAAAATAAAAACTAAGTATATTCTTGTACAACATTACTAAATTTTAATAGAATTGAATTTATAACTGTATACTTCATGAAAGAAATAGCAACAATGTGTATTGTGTTAGTCACATTGAACAAAATTTGAATGCAGCAATTTTATAACGTTGTTACTTGACTTCCTTCACATAAGCTTCCAGTTCTGCATCTAATTCTTCAGCCGTAGGTGTTTTTGTCGTTTGTCGAGTACCTCCTCCTCTACCTCCTCCACGTCGACTTCCACGACCTTAAATTCCACAAAATTGTAATATCTTATAGGAACTAACAAAAAATTACTAAATACTTTTATATAACAACCACAACTCATAAAAAAAATATGAACTGTGAGAAATATTACATTTTGTTATTTTTTAATTTGCATAAATTATTATAGAATAATAAATATTGAATTGCATTAATGAGTTACCTCTAATAGATCCTGTGCCCCGATTTCCTCTAAAACGTGTTTGAGGTCTTTGTGTATAATTAACGCCGCTAAGTCTCGGACCACGAACAGAAGCGATTGGTAATTCAGAAGTCGCTACTTGTATATTCATTTCACGTCCTATCAACATAATTATATATTGGAATGAATATGTGAAATATCTGTATATACAAATCATAATTTTTCAATCACAAATTTTTTTAGGTAAGTTTTTCGAAGATTAAAAATAATAATACTACCTATAAATATTGTATAAATAAAATTATATATTGGAAAAAAACATGCAATACAAATGAATATAATCGAATTTAAATACATACCATCTAACGGTACTCCATGATACTGTTTCATTGCTTTAATAGCATCTGCCCGTCTTTCAAATATGACATCAGCAGAACCTAGAGATCGACCTGATCTATCATAATGTACTGCTGCTGATTTTAAAGGTCCAAATTCACTGAATAATTCCTAAAAGACATCATTATAATTAGTTCTCTATGTAGAATTTCCTATATAAAAGTAGTACTGTTTTAAAGTCAAATCTACAAAAAATTTAATATATTGAAAGTTACATAGTCATCTACAAAACATTTATCTCTATTTGTAAGAATCCACATGCTGATATATCCATTAGGTTGTATATATCTTTATATTTAATACTATATGACAATTTTGTCAATAAATTAAATTTATTTTATCTCTATATTAACCAACTATTTAATTTTATCATACGCATATCGACTTAATCAAGATGAAATATTTCTATTATATTATGATTATGTTTAAAGGCTAATAAGAGTCAAACATATAAAATTAAAAATTGTATCGACACAAATATATTGACTTAACTACATATATAAAAAAATTAACATAAAAATAAAATATATATATTGAATGATGATGTTCGTAGACTCGTAAGATTTAAAATCATAGAAAGTGACAATGCCTACTCGAGTCATTGTAACAGGATGTTAATGTAAATTATAATTGTGTGAAATTATTTACAAGATATAATTTAATTTTGCGATGCTCAACATGTTCAATATTGACTGTGTTCAGCAGAAAAAGCAGCTTAGCAACTGCTGTAAAATTCTTGAATGTAATTGGCTTATACATTTAGATCTAATGAGGAAAGACAAGACATCATATTAAAAAATTTTACATCAGTTGCAAAGCTGCTTTCTCTGCTGAACACAGCCATTGCTAAAGATTTATTTTACATTACAATATTCTAATACCTGTATGTCTGAATCTGATACACCAAAATCAAGATTAGATACCAAAAGCTTGGTCGTTCCTGCATTGCCTATTGCACCACGACCAACTTTCTTTACACCATCAAACATATCATGTTTCCAAGCACTGTTTACATCACCCTGTATGACAAAATATAAATTATTTACCTATTGAAAAAGTATTACATTCTTTATCAAATAACAAAACCTTTTTTTGTTTTTTGTCATTTTCTCAATTAATAATACAATATTTTATTGTTCTATTGAAGAGAACTAGACCTACTGAAAAAAAGCTTTTATTCATTGTGTTGTAAGTAATCAATATTTAACTACATACACATATATCACAGATATGAGCATAATCTCATTTAACTATATTATTTATGATTTCTTATTGAAAATCATAATGTTATAAAACTTTTACTTAAATTGAGTTATTAAAAATAAGTTGTTTAAGTCAATTAATTTATTGAAAATAAAAATATAAACGAGTAGGAAATATAACAAATAAATGTAAACAATAAACTAAAAAAAAAGAGGAAATAAAGACAACAAATTTATAAAATACTTCCAGCGTTGATAACCATTTATATTAGTTTTTTAATAATGATCTCATATATATATATATAGATGAGTACTTTGGAATAATATTCTATACTCCGACATTTCATTCTTCAGCACATATACGCGCGCGCACATACACACACGCGCACATACACATGCGTGCGCGCATACAAATACGTATAAATACGTATAAATGAACAAGTAGTGTTCCATTGAAGAATACGATAATTGTAAAATTTAGTCTCGTATCTTACCCTTGTGTACGGTAGCGAGCTGCGCGCAATTCCACCGCGATTACGTCCTCGCATGACGCCACCGCTAGTTCTCTGTACCCGACGTGTTCCTCGACGAGGTGAACTCCCAGCGCCTCTGCCGCGTCTGCCGCTTGTTCCACCACCGCCACGCGCCCTAGACCCTTTGGTCTGTTTAATAATATCATCCAGACTCATTTCAATTTTATCCACCATCTTCATTTGTGCGGCTTGTGATGAAACGTAACTGCTAGGCGAGAGAAACACCGACGTAAATCACTTCTCTCACTGTGTCCGTTTTCGTAATGATGGCTGGCGGTAGAACGAAGACGAACCTGAAGCAGCACCACCGCACAGCAATCTGGGTATTTTGGATAATGCTAGGTAGCGCTTGGTATTGGATTGGTCATTTAGCAGATTTCAACTGTTGCGGAGCGGATCGTGAATGCTCGCGCTGCTATTGGATGATCTAAAAGAACATATCAATAGTGTTCCTATAATAAAGAATTAAAACAAACCGCCGCTATAAATAGCCAATTTTACGTTGGTGACACTGATTTGAATGTGTATGTATGAGCCTGAGTACAAAGACGTCGTGAATTGTTGTCGTAACAATTTTCAACAAAGGGCCTGAGCACAAAGATTGTCGTGGATTGACCCCTTTTAAGCCTTGTGTCCACGATGCTAGAAATTGGTCCGAGATCTCGGATGAAGAAAGAATTAACAAATCACATTTGAACAATTTGGTCACATGACCAATGGGCGCATTCAGCAGAAAAGAGCGCTACGAGAGCGCTCGCTGTTATTGGTATATTCTTCCAGATTTAAAATTCTGATTGGATGATCTAGAAGAATACACCAATGACAGCGAGCGCTCTCGTAGCGCTCTTTTCTGCTGAATGCGCCCAATGTAATTGGTCAATTTTTCCTTCATCCTTCTAGTATCGTGGACACAAGGTTTTAGGCTGGTATTCATAGTCAGTTCTTATTTGAAGACTTGTCTTAAATATGTCTTAAGACGCGAATGCAGCCCTTTGATTGGTTGGTGACATCTTAAGACTGTATTTAAAAAGATTTTGCGTATAAGAATTGACTATGAATACCGGCCTTAGCATGATATATATATATAATATATATATACACATTGTTTTAATTAGATGTCTAATTAAGGGTACGGTCAATGCGATGCTACAAATGGTTGAAGCATTTTTTAATTGGCCAATTTGTAAAATTCTTTTTTTTGATTGGTCTATTAAACGCTCCAAATCATTTGTAGCTAGACTTTGACCACAGCCTAAAACATATGAAAATTTAGATTATGTTATGTTGTATTATGTATGTACATACATACATACATAAGATATCGATATACATGGATTACATACTATTCTGTATCTGGTGTCGATGACATATAAATCTGTGTCCAGATTACACTACGACTAATCATCTTTAGAGGATCTCCTTATAATTTATTGCAAAAAAAGTATTGCCTCAGCCAGGATTCGATCCTGCATCTCCAGTATTTTATGCGAGCATCCTCCCTATTAGACTACCGAGCTTTGGCAATATATGTTAGGTAGTAATTAATAACTTGTGAAAGAAAGTCATTTATCAAGAAGACATGTATATGAATATTTAAAAAATTGTATATAAAATTAATTTTATATACAATTAAGTTTTTTTTATAAAAGTAATAATACATACGTAATTATTCAATAAAAGATAAATAGGATGTAATTATAAATGAATTCTCTCATCTCTTCTTTTGTTTAGATAATTTTTTATTTCATATTATATCACACATTGTGATAATCCGCTTGAGTTCCATAAAGAATTGTTTTGCAAACATTTTTTTAGGTGCTTTTATCTAATTAGAGATAACAAATTAATTACTCCAGCACTTTGTTAAGCAATTATGTAATTTACTTGGTCCTCGTATATAAATGTAAATCTATTTACGCATGCTGTAACATTTTCAATAATAAAAATAGAATTAACTTTATTGCTGCATTCATGATTGCTTGTATTGTAAGCACGAACTAAATAATGGTCAATTACGCGAACTAAGTACAGTGAAAATATCTATTTCTACATAATACATACATCTACGTATATAAACATTTTATATTATATATTATCTTTCAATTTAACGAAAATGTTGTGTAGAGATAATATAATTTTTTTGGAGCATACAATAATAGAGTTGTAACTTAATAATTGTATGAATATATACATTATATTTACATCTCACTATCAAACTAACAATAAAAAAATCCTAACTTATAACTGTTGATTAACTATCTAAAATTTCACCATAAGTGTGCAGTACGAATACATAAAGTAATAATTAATAACACACTTATATCGCATGTATAAAGATGCATATTTCTCTTAAAAAAACTATTAGTTTTGTCGATCTTTATTATTCTTATTATATTCAATATGTACATAATATTCAATATATTCATAATAATTATTGGCGCAGACATAAGAGAATAAAAATTATAAAATATAAAATATAAATGTATATAGAGTAATATATAGATAAGTTCAACTAATATTTTTACCATATTTTTATACATAATTTAGTTTATATTTGCTACAAAATACTTGTCTTTTTTATATTTTTCATATTCGTGCTGTGACACTTACAGTGATTCATTACAAACATTTCATATATATTATTTCAAATAAATAAAAGACAATAAATATTCCTGTAACATGTTACTATTTTAATTAAAATCAACTTTAAATAATACTTAAAGATTTTTATCGTATCAACAACGAATACACATATATAATTGTGTAAAATATAATATAAACGGAACATGTCTTAAAACCTTTGGTACTTATGTACTTACATGTATTATCAGGACACAATTATTTATAATATAGGCAGATATTAAAGACGCGGTTTCATAACTTTGAAACTAGTTTTCTTATTAGCTAAAGCTTCGGTGCGCGCACATACATTTTCTGAACTGCGTCTAATGACGTCTATAAATTCACTTGATGCATTTAAAATAGACCTTGTATCCACCTATATACAAAATGAACGTTTTTAAATATCACATTAAAAAAGTATGGAAGGTATTAATGTACAAATTTACCGTTGGTTCGCTTCTTACAACATCCTGAGACCATCTTTCAGCATGTTGAAGATAATCTACTTTATTCTCTCTGTAAAAGAATAAGTCACTGTATATGCATATAGTATACATATATTATATAAAATATGAAGAAATAAAATTCATTAAAAAAATGTTCACTTACATACAAATATGTAATTGTGTCTATTTATGTATGTATGTACCTGGATTCAGGGCTACATTTTTGTCGTAATGTAGTTTTCTTTGTATATTCTTCCGTATAGCTACAAATGGAATATGTTTTTTGTTTCTGTTCCGATTCCTCGTAGGTACACACATCATCCAAAGATGAACACGATTTAACAAAACATTCTTTACTCTGAATGGCAGTTTCTGTAAGCGAGTCTTGTCCATGACCACTGCTATTTTGTTCGCTGACGATTGTATTATTCATGTCATAACTTTGTGAAATATCATTTCTAGAATTACGCCTTTTACTATATTCGCCATTCTTCAAAGTATTATCTATCACATCTTTGACATTTTTTAAATTATCGTCAATCGAAAACATACTGTCGTCAATTTTTTCTTTCCTAATAACATGGTTATCATTTAAACCCTCATCTATATCATTTTGGCTACTGAGAGCCATTTCACAGCTGCTTATAGAATTAGAACTTCTATCTCGAGCATTCACGGAACTTTCCAAGCTATCTGCGACATTCCTTGCTTTAGAAACAGATGTAGGTATCATAATTTCAATGTTGCTCTCTATAACAACTTTATCGCTAGTTTTGACAAAATTTTCTTTATGTTTAAGAGTAATATTATCAATATTGTTCAGAATGGCACTATTTAATGTTTCATGACTACTAATACTCGACCTATCTTTAGCCAGAACTAACGTTTTATTGTCAATGGCACTCTCTTCTGATTTACAAATTCGCTTTGACTGATTACCTAGTGCAGATAATTGTACAGGTTTGTCTAAACCTTGATCCAGAGAAGATCCAAGAGATGCCTTTATATTCTTTAATTGACTCATTGATCGAGAAGAACGATGACATTTCTCGAAAATGATTTTTTGCAATGGTGGCGTGAGAGATGGATTTTGTTTACCATTACCACTTTCAGTATCCAAAGATGAAGTAGAAAATGTTCGTTTTGAATCGTCCAAACTATAAAATAATTTGAATTAAAATATTATAAAAATAAATTTATGAGTATTAATAATAAACAAGGCTTGATAAAATATAATAAATAACGTTATGACTTATTTAAAATAAAAAATATAAAATAATTTTTAGAAACTTATTTGAGATATTGAATAAGGAAAAAGTCACAGAAAGTCATTTAAAAAATAATATATATATAATAATAAATAATTATTTTTTATTTCAAATCTATATTTTAAATAATTTTATTTTATACGACTGAATCCTGATAATAAATGTGCATACGTACTGTAATTGATTGGGTTTAACGTTGATTAGCGTGGCGAGATTCGGCAACGTTGCTCTTAAATCGGTGGTCGGAAGACCGCAATACCATCGAAGTTGTGCTATATTTTTATTCAATAGATATACAGCATAATGGAATTGTAACTTATCCTTGCTTCGAGCAAACAATGGAAATCTAAAAATAAAATGTCAGTGCTAATACATGCATGGTTTCATACTAGTAAGGACAAAATTATAAATAATTCTTACTGTCTGTCGTTGTCAGGCAAATTTTCTGTGATATGATCTATAACTTTACTGCGCGAGCCATAATGTACAATAGGATATCTGGTCGGTACATTCAAAAAACTTGCAATCATTTGCGTTGTATGTGCAACGAAACCCAATGCCACAGCCACTTGTGTATCATTTGATAATTCCAATTCTTCACTGTCTGGCAAATAGACATCATTTATTCTAAACTTTCCAATGCTATCCTACAAAATTGAAAAAAATGTTAGCCAATCAAAACAATTATACAAATTATATATATAAGCTATACCTGTTTAATAGGATATATTAAACATAGTTCAGAGATTAATTGTCGTCGCCTCTGTGCAAGTTGACTGCTCAATTGCAGATATGTTTCCCTCGTATCTATATGATTTTGCCGCCATTCATTTAGTTTTTCTATGTCTTTATTCAACTCTCTATATCTTTCCATTAAGTCAGAACCTAGAAAACAAGATAGTTTTTTTTTATTTAAAGTATTTGTGCAATATATATTCAATGCGCCTATATATACTAACAACAATCTTGATTTTCTTCTGTCATATTAGTATGTAATTGATTTAGTATGCGAATTTCTCCCATTTTTCGCGATCTTTCTTGTTCTAGCAATTTTGTTCTAAATTTAGCCATTTCTAGCTCTTTACGTATTCTCATAATTTCTAACTTCTTTTCCCTGTTGACTCTCCGTGGTTGCAACAATCTGTTCAAAGTTGTCTGTGGATATTTGGGAGTATGAAAATCATCACCAGAGGCAATTCGTGTTCTGAGCGCTTGCACCGATTCTGTTTGTTGCTTTAGTGCCTGCATTTTGCTTCTTAAACTGCTAAGCTTATTTACGGTATAACTATTCTTTATTTCGGAAACATTTATAGTCATATGAAGATAGCGTTTCAAATCTGGAGTTGCTGCAAAGCAGTATGCAGGAGTAAAGTATCCACCATGAAAATGGAATATCAAAGAATTTTCCTTTAAAATAGTTTCTAGATTAGATGGTAACTTAGGACCAATATATGCCAATCCTGTGAATGATATTCCCCATGTAAAGAGAGTTACATCAGCTGTGTTATCATATGGCATTGAGCGTTTCCATACTCTCAGGATAATCTCTGTTTAAAAGATAGAATCATTTCTCTAAATGTCTAATAAAAATGCATTCAAAACAATGTCAAGGAAGAAAATAAGGAACCAAGATGTGAGCTACATAACACATTTAAAATACAAACAGACAGTAATGCTCACCACTAGCCGTTGAATAACCTGTAGCATACAGGGTTGGTACTTCAAGAATTGACCATCTTGGATTAGAATTATCAATTGCTTCGCTGGTATACAATGGAGATGACATGCTTGATCTATGTAATGTATAATAAAACCAACATATCTCTCCATTTACATTAGCTTCAAGATTATAGCCTATTATTTGTATTAAACCTCTGAGCCGTAACTGAAAATTTTTAATAATATATATAGTAATTTAAACAATGAACGTTAAAACAATATATACCAATGCTTTTGTTCAGGCAATATATTTTTCTCAATATCAATTTTAATTTATAGCTTACCTGTTGGGTTGCGAGAGATAGCCAAGTTTTGTATCGCGGAGCAATTCGCGGTTGAAGAGTTAAATCTAAATCTTTAACAAGATTTCGCGATTCGGAAAGCTCCATTGTGCAACTTCATAGTACCACAATAGTATCATTCGGTCGAAGAAATAGTTACGTCGTTGTGAGAATATTGTAATTGAACGGCTTAACCAAAGCAAATAACAAATTATAATTGTATGCGCGAAAAAGCAAGCTATACCAATTTCTCACGATTATGGAGCAATTGAACAAATTTATATTTAGTTGCTGATAAACGCATCAACCACGAAGGCTAGCTAGCTCGTTGTTGGTCTCACGTTACGATTCAAGTTCGAGCGCACGTATGCATTCTTTACTGCTGCAGCCTCGAGGCCTCGAGCGGGTGTGATAAGTGATAACCAGGGATAACATCATAACATTCGACCATGGTGGAAGGGATACCGTGGTGCGTCGGTGAGTGCACTGTGTGCAATTTGTGAGCGTCTTCCTCAGGGTGCTGTCCTCAATCACAATCGCAGAAAGGAAAGTAGAGTAATGATTGCAGAGATCTGATTGGTCTCACTGTTCCGTTCCGGTGTAATTTCCGTATCATGGGACAGCACCCTCAAAGGTACGGTCAACACGATGATACAAATGCTCTGAAGCGTTTCCTGATTGGTCAATTAGTAAAATTCTTTCTTCTGATTGGTTAATCAAACGCATTCGAAACATTTCTAGCGAGACTTTGACCGCATCTTAAATAGCGAATTTGATTGGACGCGCTATACAGCGCTATTGCGCACCTGTGCATATGAAGACCGTTGTATGATACACTAATTTGATTTTTGTAAAAGTATAATGCAAATATTTCGAATTATAAAATATAAATTTTACTTGACAACATAGTAAAATATATTAAAAATTTTCCAGTTTAATCTGTTTTTATACTTATATATAAACACTTTGACTATATAACCATGGACTGCTAGTTGACTTTTCCTCGATTGAACTGGTAAACTTAAAAGATTTATACTATACGTAATGCCTGGTAGGATCATCTACAATAGGCACGTAATAAACGTAACGTAACGTCCGTAACCGTAACCGTAAAAGTTGCAATATTTGAACTTTTATGGTTACGGTTACGGAAAGAGATCAAGTTAGGTTAAATTAGATTATAGATCGATACAAGTAAATAATATTGGAATATTGATTATAGATCTGTGCAAAATATGTAAATATTAAAATGCAATTGAAAAAAGATAACAATTATAACTAAAATACTTAATATATTGATATATATATATATATATAAATTATACTTATTAGAAAGTAATAGATAGTCGATGTTCTGGTGACAGAGGCTCACGAATACTTTTTCACATCTCGCAATATTTCTAATAGTTTCTCGAATTGCGAAACAGTCATTCGTGTGAACTTAAAAAATTGCTCATGATCCAATTGTTCTTTATAAATTGGAAAAGAGTATCAAAATGACCTTTTTCCTTCCGTTGTAACAACGTAGGTCGAACACAAAATTTTCGTTTTGAAGTCTTTCTTTTTCCTCCGCCATAATTCCAAAATAATTGCAATTAAATTTACATTCACAAGAGCTGCTTTTCTTTGCAGAGAATTTATTATTTTTTTTATAAATATGTACGGCAATAAAATCAACTTCAAATATCAAGCAACGAAGAGGTCAAAATACTCCGTAATTGTATTTTACAAGTACAGTTCCTTACGTTAGTTACGTTATCGCTACGGGCTGCCATTGTAGACGACAGGAGGAGATTTCTTACGATTACGGTTACGGACGTTACGTTACGTATATTACGTGCCTATTGTAGATGATCCTTTATGCTACGGTCTTAAGGACTTAATCCTAAAATTCAGCCAATAGAGTTCAAATTTCGGTTAGAACTGGCAGCTTTATTGGTTGAATTTTAGGATCTTGGGATTAAGACCTGAAGCATAAACCAGGCATAAGAGTTATCGATGTATCATTGAAGTTCCAGGATTCGCTGTTTTACCATCGAAATGTGACTACGTGTTTCGGATTTTTGCCATTTAGCCCCCGGGGGCACGCGTGATGTTCATTACACGGTTCTCTATCTTACGGAAAAGATACAAAGAGTGGGGGTAACTAGCAGTCCACGGTTATACCAGAGAGAAACCTGAGAGAGGACATAACGACCTAAAACCTGTAACCACAAAATACTGCCGCGCACTACTGCCCACTGCAAAAGTGGATGTGAACTACATGCCAGATCCACTATTCTGAGGATAACGCATATACTTTTCAAGACTGATGGTAAGTAGATATTCGCGGTTCGTATGATCATATTCGCGCTACATAAAATGTGGATCAGAATAAATATTCCTCCCTGCAACTACATATATGTATATATTGCTTACTTCCATGCGCGTGATGTTTATTATTAAGCTTAAAAGTATTAACATTAAAGATGTATATTACACCCATTTTTTTTACAAATATGTTAAAATATATCGCGCGTGTTTATATTTTAAATAAGTTATATATACATATATATGATCCCGGCAATTAATTCGCATTTAGAGATTTCAACATTACAGAGCTGCTTTGTGAAGTTGGCACCTTAAATG